TCTAGAGTGTAGGGTTTAGGGTTTAGGGTAGCCGGGTTTAAGGTACCGGGTATATAAGGATTTAGTGACCAACAACTACGATTGTAGACAAGGGAACCTCCTCTTCGATGACATCCCGCGCTGCATCCTGACGCCCTGCTTGTTCTGTGTCCTCATTCGCTGCTGCTGGTTCTGTGTCCTCATCCGCTGCTGCTTGTTCTGCGTCCTCATCCGCTGCTGCTTGTTCTGGCTCCTCATCCGCTGTTGCTTGTTCTGCCTCCTCATCTGCTGGTTCTCCCTCATCCTGCTCAGTATCCTGGTGGTCTGCCTCTTGCTTGCTTGCTCTTTTCTTTGCTTGCTTGGCTGTCGTGGATGCTTGCGCTGCTGCTGGACGCTTTCGTGGGGCTTCCTCTGCTGAGCCACGTGCTCTTCCTCGCCCCCTCCCTGCTCCTCGCCCTCGTCCCCTACTCTTTGGAGCAGGCTCTGGAATTGAGTCTGGGGTAACCGGCTCTTCTTCTTCTGCATTACCTTCACGTAAAGCAGCTCGGGTCTTCTTCTGGGCCTGTTACGATGGGAAAATTTATGATCAGCAGTTTGGGGTGAATCAGTGTTTGTAAGTAAGCATGCATACCCAGGCCTCCACTGCCAGGTTAGGGTCATCCTTCTTGTGCTTTTGAAGAAGTTCACGGGCGTGGCTTTCAACATTTCCAGGAAGCTTCGGGGTGGATTTTGCCAAGGCCTTTTCGTCCTAAGACAATCATCATGGAACATTAATATTAGACGAGTGCTACAGCGCTATCTCAAAAATGCCGTACAAACAGTCCTTGTAGGTTCCCTTTGTCATGTCACCAATTTTTTCCTCATCACTTGCGAACCCCTTGTCCAAACATTCATCATCCTCGCATTTCTCCTCCTCGCCCATTTCCTGAGCCGCCTCACCTTCCTGCAGGTCGGCAACATCCTCCATCGCTTCGTCCTGGAAGCAGCAGCTACAAACAGGGATGATGTGGGCCCCTTTAATATATATAAGATATGGGAGGTTCTCGTAAATTTATAAAAAGGTAAGTTTGAGGGGATGCAGGGCATGTAGGGTTTTGGATTTGGTGGCTTCGTTGTAGTATCGATTGAGAATATTAATATGTCGCACTTAGAGCCTTTTTCGATTTCCTTTCAGGCCACGTAGACAAACACTGCCTCAAGCCGAACCCCCTAAATCCTAAGCCCCTAAACCTAATATAAGCCTTATAAACCCTAAACCCCTAAACCTCAAACCCCTAAGACCTAAGATCTATTTTCGCAACATCTCTTGATGTTCATTAAACTGCACAATTTATGATGTCTATGTTGTTTTTCTGAATGCTGATGAACGCTGAACAGTGCTAATAATCCTGACACTGGCCAATCGTAAGCCCTGGGGAGAGGCTTAAGGTTTAATTGACACTAAAACCTTCAATTCGCTATTGCAATTCCAAGTAGCCCCACCTTCCCACTGAAGATTGATAATATACAAATCTAGGCCCTAGCCGAATATTCTAAAATGATACGGGTTTGCAAACACGGGCTCCAGATTTCTGCGGGCCGCCTGAAGGAGTACAATACCTCAGGATAATATAGTAGTTAAAAATGATTGCGTAGCCCAGTCAGACCTGATGAGATTTATGAATTCTGAGCTAAGATTCTGCGAGCTTGGCCTACAAATTATCACCCTTCATTTTGTTCATAATGCAAGCATATGTGTTTGTTCATAATAAGTTTGGATCTCAGCTTGCTATCAAAAATTCGGATCCAACATGGAGCCACAATTTTGAAAACTTAGCTCTAAGCCCCTAAGCCAAATCCCCAACACCCAACTAGTCAACTACAACCCTGGATCATTGTACCTTGGAGCCCAAAACCTAACCCCCGAACCCTAAGCCCTAAACCCGAGTGGCTCCCACCTCCATCGCGGAAGAGCTCTTGCTTTGGTTGACTTCCTGGCAGTAACATGTTGGGAGCAAAAGTTATTGAAAGTTGTAGTTGCGAACTGAATTTGCCAGTCCTCCTTTCGCAGATTAATGAGCTGCTTGAGCTTGGCCATCTTTTGGTGGGTCTCGCCAGACCTGAATGAGGAAGCTAATATAATGAAAATATTCCTGGCTGACATGCGATTTGCCTGAGCCCTTCGCCGGGCCCACTTGTTGCGGGTGGCTCGATCACAAGCCCAAGACGCAAAGCCGCGAAGAATCGCGGCTTCGCCTTCAGCCCAATCCTGGCCGAGCTACATGCACAAATACAAAATTCACAGAACATTGAGTGAGCGAAAATCCCACTAGGCCACGCCTTCAACTCTCCCTTCTCCTTCGAATCATTCAGCCGGAACGTCTCGCTGGCCCAAACGAACGTCAACTGCCAAGGTTGGGCAAGATTCAACTAATATCCATCCAATCTACATGATACCCGCCTCCACTTCTTTTTTTGTGGGGAGATTGCCGGCGAACGAAGCACAGTACGACAACATGATTGGAAAATTGTGCGAGGTTGTGACCTGCACAAGCTGCAAACTTAGCAAAAGAATTTATCTGATGCTGCTACATGCTGGACCTGCTCCTCATCCACGGCTGCTTTGCCGACATCCAAGAGTTGGAAAAAAAACTTCCCCTGCCCAGGCTAAATTATGAAAAGCAAACGCCTTTGCAAATTTGCACGACGCACATCTCTGCTTTCCTGCCTGGTCATCCTTTTTGGCTTGTGCGCGCTTCTTCAGAGTCTCGATCCGCTGATTGATAAACCCAGGCTTCAGGAGGTCGTTGAAAAATTCCTGGCGGTCACTTCTCTTGCAGATCAACCCACACGAAAATTGCAGAGATGGCCCAATTACCGAAACCCAGCAAGTCTTTCAGCACAGCCAACCTCAACGGATTCGGCTTCGAATCCGGCATCAGCTTTGAAAATGCTCAGTTATGATCCCAATGCCTTTTGGCGTAAGAAAATCGATCTAGCAACCATGCGATACTGAATCTGCGCATGTGACCTCATGTGTTGCCAAACAACCTGTTGAGCCGTACAAGCAGGCATTACGTGAAGTCTTGCCACAAAGGTCAACCGCCAAAATTAAGCTTCATCACCAGCAACGGAGCTGGCACCTCGTGGTACAACTCCATCAGATTCAAGACCTGAAAGCGGGATTTTCGATTTCGGGACTCCATTGGGTGACATCAAACTAAGTTTCCAGCGCGCACGCAGAAATTTTCGTATAGGAACTGGCATCGCCAAGACCTGATTTGCATGCGGCATCTCCTTTGCTACATAAAAAGAAAAATGAGAAGAAGAAGAATCTGAGATGCGTGCCCAAACAAGTCCCCATAGCCAAGGAATCATGTATTTTGAGAAGCTAGATTGCTCATGTACTGCATGGAAACTACTGCTGAGATGATTTCTTTCTTGTAGTGCCTGATTCCTTGAAGCAACTGGAGCGGAGAGAATCGATACAACCCCTTTTGCACTGCCAATAAGCTGCTTTGGCTGCAATCAACCGATGCATCATGGACTTTCATCCCAACATGAAAAGTTGAACCCACCAGTTAAACGGATAGAATCAGATCCCACCAGTTAAACGAGTGCTTGGAAGCTTAGGGTATAGGTTTAGGGTTAGTAAGGAAGTAGGAAATCCATAATGAATATATGAGCTGCTGTCTAAACTCCTGGTATACCCCTTAATAACCCCTATAGTAGTCCCCTATATAATCCCCTATATAATCCCCCTTTAAGGAGTTTAGACTATGGCTCATATAGGGATCATATTCCCTTAATCCTTGAAAACCATCCGGAAGTCAAGGCAGGATCCCAAACCAAGTCGTAATATTCGAAACTCGTATTCACAATCGGAACATGATCCCACTAACCTCCTAGGGGGGTATTTCACGAAGAAAGTTCCGCACATCTCATAGTCTCCCTACACCTTAAACCCTAAACCCCAGGGGGGTTTAGGGTTTAGGGTTCCAGCAGCTGAGTGCTCCTAGACCAGACTGCCCTGCCGCTTCTTTTTGGATCCGCGCCGCGCGCGCGGAAGCTCACATTGAAATTCTCCAAAGTTGGGGATCCCCTTGTAAAACAGAAACAAAAACAGACAAATGCACCACAAAAAACAAACTACCATGAGAACTCACCTGTAGGTTCCAATTTAGAGTGCCTGCAGCTTAGTAGTCTTAATCGCTTAATTACAAGTATCACGCACTAACCCTGCATCCCTACATCCCTAACCCCGTAGGTAAACAAGGCTACAGGCGCAATGCAACGGGACCCGCACTTGGGAGAATTTCCCGTGACAAATACCTGGACCCCAAAAGTATGTAAAATAATGGCCTTTATGGCTGTTATTATGGGTTTAGGGCTCTTATTTTACCTACTTTTGGGGTTTAGGTAGCTCTTGGATGGATGGATGGTCCAGGAGTTAGGACGCCTTGTGCAAGCTCGAAGGCTTCATCTAGGGGTTCAAAGTTTAGGGTTTAAGGTTTGGAGGTTATAGGGGTTTAGGGTCTAGGGGTTGTTCAAAGCTTAGGGTTTAAGGTTTGGAGGTTATAGGGGTTTAGGGTCTAGGGATTCTCAAAGTTTAGGGTTTAAGGTTTGGAGGTTATAGGGGTTTAGGGTCTAGGGGTTCAAAGTTTAGGGTTTAGGGTTTAGAGTTCTGGAATACTAACGGATTTGGCAACCCTAGCCCCAAAATTAATGACGCTATGACCCTGTTCTACTCATGGAATACTTCTAGATTTAGGGTCTCTGTTGAACCCCAAATCCTCTACCAAATCTATGAACCCCAAACCCTAAAACCCTAAACTCATGCTATTACGGCCGCACCAAAACCCCAAAAGCATGTAAAATAATAGCCCTTAACCCATAATAACAGCCACAAAGGCCATTATTTTACGTACTGTTGGGGGTCCAGAACCCTAAACCCTAAATAGTAGCTTCCATTTTCTTTTCCATTCTCCCTACATAACCCCTATATAACCCCATTATTTTAGACACTTTTGGGGTCCAGGTACTCACTTTTCAAGCTTCGGCTTTCGCATCATCCAAAGCACATGGCTCGACCCTGGCTCAGCGCGAACGATCCTACCAGGGGGGTCCCTTTAAAGGCGTTGTACAAAGGTTTTAGGGTTTAGGGATTTAGGGTTTAGGGTTTAGGGATAACGGCTTAAGGTTTGCTACTGATACCCTCCATGGCGATATGTGGCCCCTAATAGTGATTACTTGGGCCCGAGTTGAGGGTAGGAGGAGGTGTCTAGGTAGGGATGTATTAGAACAATCAAAGCTCAGATGGAAAAGAACATTGACGATGCGTTGGATGCGTTGGATACTGCTGTTTAGATTTTGGGGCCTTGACATCTTGGCCCACATTACCCTAGGAAGAAACAGGATCCTTTTTAAGGTAACTATAAGAAATCCCATATCCCTAAAAAGTACAATAAAGGATCCCTAACATGGATCCAGACATACCCATTATACAACCTACCCTAAACCCTGAACCCCCAAACCCTAAACCCTAAGTGTAACCTAGGGGGCTCACGGTTAGGCGTTTCAGACGCACTTCCGCGCAGCTTAGGGTTCGGAGGGATTTTTTGGAGTTTTAATGTTTAGGGCTTATATTGTTAGTGATTCTGCGGTTTGCGGCTTTGAGGATTTTCAAGATTTCGGGTGTTTGGTGTTTGGGGGTTAGTGCTTTAGGGTGTTTAGGGTTTAGGGATTAAAGGCTTGAAATCTCACCCTATGAGCCGTACCTGAACCACAACTGCGTGTAGCATCAGGATCTTTTATGGTCTTTATACGGGCTAAACCCTGAACCCCTAAGCCCCTAAACATTTAACCCCTAAACCTGCGACTTGGCGATCACAAGATTTGTTGTCAACGTCTTGTCTCTGGGGTTTAGGCTTAGGGCTTAGGGGGGCTCAGTTCAGGGTTTACCTAAACCTTAGAAGTATGTAAAAGAATAGCCCTAAACCCATAATTGCAGCCATAAAGGTCATTATTTTACATACTTTTGGGGTCCAGGTAACCTAGATTGGGGGTTAGATTTAGAGACTAGCAAAGGGCAATGGTATATATTGAGGACAAAGTTTAGGGTTGAATGAATGAACACCATTATTCAAAGAGTACTTGCAGGGTCTATATTGGAAGGCGTGGGGCGGGCACGCGTCCAATGTGGATTGTTCTAGCTCTCGGGTTCACCTCAAGCCTAAGCCAAAGGGATCTGTGGTTTTTGCAATGTCTTGGATTGATGCTGGCAAATCAACTTGGAGTGCCGCTAGCAGATCATGTATTAAAAGTTGCATAGATGTACAATTAGACGTGGGCTTCTGATGTAGGATGCCTCTTTATAAGAGGGGACTGTTATCATGTATTCAATCCCTAAACCTCTAAGGGCTTATATTCCGAGCGTAGAAGCACGGGCCCTTGGTCTGAGCCCCTGATCTTGTGGGTCCTTACATGCCTCTTATATACCCAGCAGAGCCCTAGAAGCATAAGCAAGGGCCGCATGGTGAAGTCCCTGAAACCTAAACGGTGCATCAGGGGGCCATGGTTGAGAACCCTAAGCCCTAAATCCTGAACCCTAAATCCTCGACCCTAAACCCTAAACCCTCAAAAACCCTAAACCCTTAAACTAATATGGTCAGCCAAGGTCCTGAACTCAGGAGGGTCGGCTTCGCGCATTGCGTTGTGGTGCGCCACGAACTTTTCCACGTCCTGCGGATTTCAGATCCCGTTTAGGGCAGCTAAGGCTCAAGGGTTTAGGGTTTAGGGTTTAGGGGTTAGGGTTTAGGGGGAGTAGGGTTTAGGGTCAACCCAACAGTACTATGGACTGCCTTATAATTCTAGGGGGTTCGACTTTCTAGATCCTCCCAGGTTTCAGGGATCTATCATGCAGGAGCCTCTGAGGTCATGGGAAGATTTGGGGCATCGGGCTCAGGAATTCACCTCTATCCCCTGAACCCTCAACCCTAAACTCAGCGTTTTGCAAAGTTATGACTCAATCCGTCGGGGCTCAGAGTTAAGGGTTGAGGATTGAGAAATTTTAGGGTTTCGGGTTTACGGTTTAGAGTTTAGGGACTACCGGATTTAGGTTCAGTGCTTTAGGCAGAAAATCATGTGGGCGCATATTGTTTACTATAGGTACACGATATTGCTTACTCTAGGTACACACTAGCACTATTACAAGAATTTCAGTTGTCGAAGGTATGAACCCTTGGCCTTGGGATTTTCATATACCCTTCATGAACCCTTAGAACCCCACTAAAGAGACCGAGAGACATCTTTACAGCACACATTTCCGACCCCGGCAGATAGATAGCCAGTCTTAAGGACCCTCAGACGTCACTTTTTAAGGTTCACTGGGCCTTGGGCGGTGGGTTCTGGATTGAGGGTCTGGGGCTTCGGCTTTGGGCCATTGGGTTTAGGTTGGGGGTACAGTATGGCTTTAGGATTTACAGTCTAAGTTGCAGCTTCAGTTTTAGGTCCTCTGCTGAATTGTCTACTGCAGTCACACCGAGGCCAAAGCCACAGCCCCAAACCCTATAAACCGCACACTTGTGTCCGGAAGTCTACTCCCTACCTGTGGGTGGAGCAAGTTTTGCACCTTACCTACTGTCACTGAACAGGTTTTGGGGAGTCCTGAGGGTCTCCTACACCTGCACCACCCTCCAACCCTCGGCTATTAAGAACCCAAAACCATAGGACCTAAAGCCTAGATCCCTGAAGCTTCAAATCCCGAGTCCGTAAACCGAAGGCCCACACCCCTAAATCCCAAACCCTAAGGCTGAAAATAGCCCAAAAGCCGGGTATAGTATGGCCTTTACCGCCAAAAACCTTACATTATGAATCCTTAACGCCTGTGGGTAATCGAAACACCCCCCAAACACTCAAACCCCAAACCCTAAACCCTGAACCCTAAACCCAACTCCAAGCTCGAAAACCCCAAAGCCCTGCCAAAGTCCTGTCTGACAGCAGCCCACCCATAGTCGTCACCAAACCTTTTCAAAAGAATACCAAGGTTTTGGGCTTCTAAAGGGAGTGTGTTCAGGGTTTAGGGTTAAGGGTTAAGGGTTTTAGGGTGTAGGGTTCTTCTTTTTTTTTTTTGCGGACCTTTTCTCCGTCGCACAAGTCAACGAGGATGTCTTACGACACGGTCCCTGAGAACCCAGGCAGAAATGACAGCTTGCAAAGGGAAAAAGGGCAGTAGCACTAAACCAGGTCCGAGGTATGGCCTGTGGGCTTGCTCAAAAAGAGCCAGCGGCTACACACGCCCTCAGATTCACACACCCCTCACGCGAGCCCACTTACAAAGCCCACACGAAGAGCAGTGTATCAGAGCTTTCACAACAGCCAATGGGACAGATTTGTCTGCTTGCTTCCCCCTGACCCTGCATTTTCCCTATTGTCAGCCCCCTCAGTACTCGCTGTGCCCGGCAAGGTCACCGAACTCCCCGAGGCCGTGCTATGGTCAGCGCCGACTTCGTTGCCCGACATCGCCGCTGGTACATCAACTCCGATCAAAGGCGCATTGGCTTCTCCCTCTGATGCAGCACCAGCGGCTCCTACTGAAGCACCTGCTAAGTTGGCCACGGTGTTGATGCCATCTTCCTCCAGAGTTCCACCCTCACCGCCAGTGGGCATGTCGTCATCACAGCCTTCCCAGGTGCCCTTCAGCCAGTCCCGCTTGCTATAGAAGCGGCCCAAGACGCCGTAGCCGAAGCGCCTGCCAATCAGGTTGTCGGTAACTTGGCCACTGGTCCACGCATTGAAGAACTTATCTGCAAGCGGCGTGAGCATGAAGTCGTCCACAGAGAAGTCTCGTACATTGGAGACATCATGTTCATCCCACATGTCAGGGGCGCCAAGTCCACTGACTGGAAGTAGGGCGTCCTGACCCAGTGCATCTTGGGCATCTCGCTCAGGCTCTTCTGCTGGTGGTCCATCTATTTCTTCAGGCGCAACATCCCCCGAGGATGCGGCAGTGGGGTCGCAGTCTCCGTCCATGTCCACCTCCGCCGGCTTGACACTGACACTGTATGCAAGCGACTCACCATCACGGAGTCCTACCAACCAGTTTTCTTGTCTGATAATTCTTCCACCTTGGCCCTGCACCAGTACTTGTACCCTGGCCCGTTTGACTCCTTCCCCACTACGGCCTGCTTTGGCAGCCCAAGCTTCCCATTCCCTAAGCTCAGTGCTAGTGAAGTCTTCATGTAGCCTTTCTTCCTCCAGTCGTAGTAGGTCCGCAGCATAATTCTCCATCTCCTCATTCTCAGCAATGGTGTCTTCCTCGTCCTGCGTCAGGTCCCTTTGAGTGCCATCAGGTTGCTTAACCATCATCTTCTTGCTCCCGTTCTCCATCACCTGCTCCTGGCTGTCAATCACTTCTATGGCGTCAGGCACAGCAGTGCTGGGCCCAGGGATCCCCGCTTCCCGCGTCCCACTTTCAGACGGGGGGCCGTCTTCCGTTGCGCCCTCCAGGTACGGTACCATGGACATCCACGTCTGCAGACACCAGCTATGCTCGTCCCCTCTGAGCTGAGCATCCTCTTCCACAAAGACGGAGATGAGGGCTTGCAGGCTTGCCACTCTGCTCAGCAGCACCGAGTTCCTGAGGTGGGGTGCCATCGGCTGCTGGTCTCTGACCATCTGGTTGAGGAACCCTGCAACCCTAGCAGCTTTTGGTTTGGGCATAGCGTCCAACTCTTCAAGGAGCTTATGATTTCCTCAAACTTGCCTCCCACGCTTCCCTGCATCAGGAAGAGCTCGTCAGGGTCATCCATCAGGTCCAAGCCCGTCTGAAGCAGTCTCATGCCATCCATTTCTTCCACGTCCATATCGAGGTCTGCTGAAGTTTCTTGGTGTTGATTGCCTGCTCGGTCCTCATTTCCCTCGGTCTCTTCCTCGCCGTCCGTGAAGATCTGGACCTCGCCCTGCTGGTTGACTTCGTCGATCGGTGCAATGTACCCCACCGTGCTGGCGATGGCACCATCCCTTACCCTCTTATTCCGTCGTTCCTCAGGCCCTAGACCCTCCATGCCAGGTTCTGAGCTGGATCCCCCATCACTGTCTCGGCTTCTGCAGGGAGGTTCTTCTGCGTATTCAGTGCCTGGGAGTCCTCTTCAACGGTACGCATTACCGCAAACAGCTCCATCACTTCGTTTCCCCATGCTTCCCTGACTTCCTGGTCAGACGTATCACCGGTAACCCAGCTTCCGTACAGCGCTCGCCCCTCGGCCGTGTGCAAGAATGTGTCGAGGTCAACTTCCCTGCTCCCTCTGCCTCGCACATTCATCAGCTTGCGCTCCATTTGCGTCTCCGTCACCGGGACTGTAGAAGGTGTAGCTGGGGCCGCCGCATTTCCCTCACACTCCTCGGCGTTACTGGCATTGATCACACTTTCGGTGCTGGCAAACGTTACCATCACATTCTCAGTGGCCTCAACATCGCCTTCAAGGACCCCCTCTGCAATCGTCCTTCCTAGGGTTCAGGTTTAGGGTTTAGGGTTTAGGGGGGCTTCTGAACCCAAAGGGTCCATGTAGGTATATGGTATATACTTGGGCCTTAGAGTAGGTATATGGGAACTGCTTTGGGGCCTAAGTATATACCATATACCTACATGGACCCTTTAGGGAAGGGAGTGAAATTGGAACCCAAACAGGGAACCCTTAGAAAATAGTAGGAGTAACAATAGGAATATAAGGTACCTGGGTAGGCATATCCCTATTGGATTCCTACAAGACTCTTGGGGTTCCCAGGTTTGGGGTTCACACTATGATCCGTTGAGCTTCGAGATGTTGTTTCACGGGTCAGGGTCAGGCTTGACGCCCTGGAACGCCCCAAAGTTTTAGGATTTATCTAGAAGCCTACTTACCCATAATGATGGGCTACTTTAACTAACAGTAGCAGGAAATTGGGGGAAAGTAGACCATAATTATGGGTAACTGGCTTTCTAAGTAGGGTTTGATTAGAGGCTGGTTTTCTGGGAAGTTAGTGGCCAATTTCAACTGGGGTTACAACCGTACTTACAAGCGGGGGGCCGCCTACATTGCCAATGTTCAGCTTACCATTTTTCATGGCTGCCTTGAGATGCTCCAGCCTCCATGAGATTAAAGAAGTTTGCTACAACATGGATAAAGTACAGCATTTATAATACATATATATATATATATTGCCTTTAACCCTAAACTCTTCTATGCCTGGAGCTTAGGAACTTCTCCGCAGAGATCCTGGACCCCTAACGGTCCAAGTAGCCAAAGATCGGCTTACTATGTTAACTGCAGTGAGTATTCCCCATGAAAATTAATGGACATGGGTTGCCATTAGGGAATGTACTAGGGACTATACGAAGCGACCAAAGAGACACCCACGCCCACCCTTTTAATGGTTGTTTTTCATATTGAGACTAGCCCCAAATAATTCGCCGAGGCATCCAGCCAGGGCGTTCAGATCACTTAAAAACCCCTCTATTCCCCTTTGCTGGCCGACCCCCCCCCCCCCATGGTGGGTGGCCTAGTCCAGCCTGGCCCAAGTTCGAGGCTTTGGCGGTACGCAGCGGGCGCACTTTTCGTTCAAAACCATGTTTTTTTTGCCGGAGCCCCCTGGAGCCCCCTGGAGGCCGCCCCTGGAGGCCCTGGAGGCCCCTGAGCCGCCTGGTACAATGATGGCTTTCGCGTTTTGGGTACACGTAATTATGATTTGCAGTGGATTGTGACAAGAACACTTTTGCGAGATACGAGGAGTTTTAGCTACCGTTCTGTGGCTAGACCCCAATATGCATTTA